CTTTCTTTGGATAAATAAACTTGGTTTCCAGAGCTCCCAGTCTGGCACCATTCATACATGCTAAAACCCAGTCAAACAGAAATATTCATACAAATAGTAACTCGATGATACACTGTTTGAAACAAAGTGTGTTAGTACTCTCACTGAGAAGGCTATAGCTGTTAAGTTTCTTTCCAGAAAGCTGTTTGTTAATAGTGTTCCTGTTTCTTTTGCCAATAATCTTTTCAAGCAGATAATGGATATATGTTGCCAAATACTAATTCTGTTATTCAGATGTCCATAATTTCTAACACTGAACCATGCTGATTTTCCAAGCAATGTTTGTTGAGCTTGATAAGCACAAGAAAATATCTTTGTAGGCTAATACATAATGAAAGTACCTCTTCCTATCTAAGATATGCAATACACCCATCTATTTTCTATATGTACTTTCCTATAAGAAAAAAAGTTTTCAGCACTGTCACTGAGCCTGTTTACAGAAAAGTAACCTATATTCCCTTCTGTTCCTACATCTAACAATTTGTTAACTATGCCCCAATGAACAGTAAAAAAGATTTATCACATGAGGATGAAAGAGAGAGAAAATATGCTAGATTTTGGGATTGTAAGTACAGTTTGCAGGCATAGTATTACAGAATATTCACCCTCTAGCTTACAAACTGATTTAGCTTAATATGGAAAGAAGTTGAATATGGAAACCGAGAGAAGTTGATTTCAAAACACAGTGATGTCATTTCTTCCATGCTTATTTGTAGTTTAAATTGCAACACTATTGTTTTGCTTATAACAAAAATCTTAAACTGAATACAAAACACTATTCTTTCACGGAGCAGATGTTGATATCACAGTCTAGAAATAAAAATTTACTGAATGCAAAGGATTGTATATATTTACTATTTTTCTGTCTGATGAACATAGAAGACACACTCATTGATCAAGAAATGTTATGCATCAGTACAAACAAGTGACGGATGTTGTACAAAAGAATGTGTCGGTTTCCTTTCCAATGCAGTCTTCTCACTTTAAAGGTGCCTGTTGAACTTAAAATAACTTGTTTCTATTTCCTTTTACAAAAAGTTTATTTCCAGCTTTGCAAGTTTAATTTTATAAGAAAGTTTTTGGCTGAAATCAGCTCCTGAATTGGACATATTCTTTTCACTCACCAAGCAGACAAGTATGAAACTCTCCAAGTTTTTATTAGAAGCATTTTTTTTTCTGTTTATAACACAATTGTAAGGCTTTTACCATCCATGTATGCTTTGAGCCATCAAGACTGTTCTTTGCTCTAAATGTGCTTGTTTATTTACCCTTACAATGGTTTGACATTTGATGAATTGTATTTTCTCCATGGAAAAACTTTAAAGGGAAATTACTCACAGTGCATTGCTCTTGAATATTATTTCCTCACGAAACAGATTTTTGTATGCAGCAGACCTCTTGATAAGGTGAAGTCCATCAAATGTAGCATATAGTTTGATATTTTTAACCACTGGCAAATCCTATGGCATAATTCAAAGACAGGGTACCTGATCACTAGTCACCCACTCCATTCTCTCATAAGTTTGTCCTTCAAGATCATTCTAAGTGCCACATATGCAAGTTTCCAACTTAAAATAAGTCACAAATCACGACAAAATATCAAGTCAGCTGAAATAAGCTTGATAACCTCTTTCAGCTGGAATGTATGAATGAAATACATGTGCTTTTTCCTCTTTGGTAAGTATGAACTAAGCTTTATCTAAACATGAAACTACTCAAATTATAAGAAATTACATGTCACCAATTGTATGTTTTGTCATCTTTCCTGTAATGCACCTGTTAAGAAAGATTTATAAAATATCATTCAGAGAAACTCAGCATTTATACACATGCCCCCATTTTTCTATCTTTCTGTCTCTCTTTTACCTTCAAAGCAGAGAGGTTACGCAGTACTCCATGACATTATCTAAACAGCAAGGAGCCATAAATATAGACTCATGTCACAGTGAGACAGGAAAAGGAATGACATGAACTTTTTCAAAAAGCAAATTCCATGCACCCTATCTAGGTCTGTCATTTCCTTCTCATACTTTTAACTACTTGAGTTTTTTTTCTCAGGGTTTTCTCAAGCTTTCCAGTTGCTTTACTTTCAATGATCATCGAATGGTCATTGCTTCAACAGCAAGTTTTCACCACATCCACACCTCTGCTCCAAATTTTCCTCCTTGTTTTCAAGAAGTAAAGCAGCCTCTTCTCAAAATTTTTCAGGGATGTTCAAACATAAAATGCTTTTGTAGATGTGCAGCTTGAGATGTTTCTATTGCTGAAGTCCTCTGCGTAGACGTTTTCTTCCTACTGCTTTCATTGCCCATCATTACTTTTGATGACTGAAGTTGTCCATTATTTTAGATACATAATCACTAACATCTCCTTGTCATTTTAACTTGTATTGGAAACTACCATGCCTTGAGTCTCACTGCTTAACCAACAGCATAATTTAAAATAATTTAATTTTTTCCACGCACTTTGACTGGGACTCAGATTCCTCCTGCCTATCTTTACAGTTCTTGTGTGTGCCGAATCATTCTCTAGTGATGCTGATTTCTCCTTGTTGGCTGTAGAAGGCAATGAGATATTATTGTGGGTTTACATGGAAAGGTTTTGGTAGCAGGGTACTGCAGAGGTTCTTCTGTGAGAATAATCCAGAAGTTACCCCGTGTTAGATAAGGGCCATTTTCAGATGGCTCCAAAGAGATCCGCTGCTGCCTAGAGCTGAGCCAATAAGCCATGTTGCTCTGTGAGAGCAGATTTAAGAAGGGGAAAAAAAACTGCTGCACAACAGCAACTGGGAGTGAGGAGTGACAAACAGCCCTGCAGACACACAGGTCAGTGCAGAAAGAGGGCAGGAGGTGCTCCAGGCACGAAGCAGAAGTTCCCCTGCATCCTGTAGAGAGGCCCCTGTTGGAGCAAGCTGTCCCCCTGCAGCCCATGGGTCCCACATGGAGCAGATCTCCATGCTGCAGCCTGTAGAGGAGCCCCCAGTGGAGCAGGTGGATGTGGCCTGGAGGAGGCTGCGGCCCATGGAGAGCCCCCACAGGAGCAGGCCCTGGGCTGGAGCTGCAGCCCATGGAGAGGAGCCCACGCAGGAGCAGGTCTGGGGGGAGCTGCCACCTGTGGGGGACCTGTGCTGGAGCAGTTTGCTCCTGACTGATGGACCCCGTGGTACAGAGCCATGTGGGAGCAGTTCTTGAAGAGCTGCTGCCTGTGGGCAGCCCCTGCAGGCTCAGTTCAGGAAGGATGGCATCCGTGGGGAGGGACCCCATATTGGGGCAGGACAGAGAGTGACTGTGAAGGAGTGGTGGAGAAAAGGTGCAATAGACCGATTGCAATCCCCATTCCCCTGTTCTCCTGTGTCACTCAGGGGGAGGAGATGAAAGAGGGTGGGTGGGGGGTAGGTGGTTTTGTTTTCTTTCCTTTGTTTTTCACTGCTTTATCTTGTCAGTAATAAGCAATACATTTTACTAATCTCTCTATGCTGAGTCTGTTTTGCCCATGACAATAATTGGTGAGTGATCTCTCTGTCCTTTTCATTATATTTTGTCCCCTTTCCCTTTGAGAAGGGGAAATGAGAGAGTAGTTGTGGTGGAGCTTGGCTGCCCACCTGAGTAAAACCACCATAGATGTTTATCCAGCCCTGGCAAAATTAAGACAGGATACATTCAAACATTTGATTAGTTTAAGACTCATTTATTTCCACTGAATTTACATAGGCTTCTAAAACTAATTCTGGCCTCCTTATACACAGATTTGTATCGGATCTGTGAAAATATTTAAACAAAATAATGCACAATACTGTAGCTTTACTTACCAACAAGGCCAACGTAAAATATTTTTTTGCACATTTTAGAGAAGCAAAAACTAGGGAACAAGGAAAATAATATTTCTGTGATTCTGTTGCAATATACTTACTACATTCTAACACTTAGTGATTTCAATATTGCCATAACAACAACAACCAAAATTCCTGTTTCTAAGGTGTTGAAATACATTCTTCAATGTTGAAAGTGCAATATAAGATTTTACAAAATAGAGATCTACCCATTTTCAACACTGTTTTTCTTATTTCAAGGTAAAGCTACTCCAGTCACTTAAAGCCTTTGTCTTTTAGGCAAACTCTTCTGTTGCAGTATTGAAAACATTCAGGTTATAGAAGAAGGCTTCTTAGTCTCAGCTTGGTATTAGTAGAGTTGATGAGAAAACAGATAATAAGGCTATAATAACTTAAAATATAGACATGCTGCACCAGTAATGGAGTTATTGTACCCACATGGCTCAGTAGAGTAGCTTAGATAACCCAAATTTTATGAAGTGAAAACCACAATATTCTTCAACTCCTTTAGAATTCAAACAGCAATTCAATAGCTTGTTACAAATGGACAGAGCTATTTAACATCATAGCATACAAGACAGATGGTGATCCAGCCCATTCAAAATACCAGTCCATCCACTAGTAGCAGTCAGAATACTGCATCACAAACTGAAAGCACTTTAGCGATTATTAATAAGGTGGTATTTATTTCAGGTTTAGGAAAAAGTCATACTACAGAAACACCTATATGCTTACTGGAAAATGTATGAAATAAGTATTAGAGTGAAATGAAGGAGTTGCCCACACTATTGGCAACTAGATACATGTATTTTCTGCAGTTTATATTAATAACTTGCAGATATGCCACTCAAACTGTGTTTCTGTCAGATCTCATAAATTCAGCAGGACTGGGTCTGGTTAGGAATGGGATCAGAAATCTCAAAGGAATATCATGCATACAACAGGAAGCAACACTGACAATTCAGAAAGCAACTCTTTTCCCTTTGAATCTGTAATTGCATAAGGTCTCTTAGTGTGTGTGTAATGTGCCCTCATGCTGAGTTGGTAACATCTGAAGGAGTAGGATTTTAATTCATATAAGTAAATTCTGTTCCTCTGGCTCAGTTTCAAAAGGATACAATTTTTTCTGCAGATTCTGCTCTATGAAGAATTTCTGTCAAGTATTGAAATGCACTGTGAAGTGGTTGCGTTTGCCCAGGAGGTTCCCTGAACATCTGCAGGAACTTTTCTGGATTTGGTAAATGACCTATACTTTTACTAAAATGGAGTAAATGATGAGGTAAAACTGATATCATTTAATAGGTACAATACAATTTTAAACCAAATCTGGATATGAACCTTTGCCATAAAATTAGTGACCTACCATAACATTGTTTTAGGTACTTAAATCTCATTGCTTTGTTCAGCTTTTTCTTTTTTTTTTTTTTTTTTTCTCCACTGCTGCCTTAGCAAAATCTACCAATATCCAATAAGTTACCAGTACTACCAATACTGCACTGTCATCTGCATTTGATCCCCAATTCCTTCAAAAATATGGCTATTCCATGAACCAGAGATCCTATTTTCTGAAGATGAGATGAATGTAAATCACTAGGGTTTTAGGTTGAAGGCCGTAACTCAAAACATGAAATCATGTTTCACATCTCCTTATCCACAAATGGTAATTATATCCTATGGAACCAAAACGAGAGTTATTTTCTAAAAAAGACCTTTTTGCTTCATTGAGACAAAGCAGGTATACACTGGAAAGGAAATAGTACACAAAGAGCCACAACTCATATATCAGTTCGACTTCACAGAATTGTTACTTTCATGCTAGGACTGAAATCAACAGTCACTAACAGTCAGCAATTAGAATGAGGAGATGTGTTTGTCTATGTGTATGTGTGTCCATGTACATGTATGTGCTCTCATATACACATGCAGAATATATAAGTGGCTAGCTATAAATCTGTGTTTTTAAAAGGAATATGGCAAAAAGAAAATGTGCATGCACCAGACAGGTTTATTATATGAGCAGTGAGACCAGAGCAATGAAGGATCTTCAGCTTATTGTCAGTGCTAGGAACAAAAGATGGCAAGATTAGTTAAGTGCTGAAGATCAACATAGTTGTATTGGGTTGGTGTAACAGGATTTGTTGGACTGCAGGTAAACAGGCACAGGAAAACACTGAAAAACAGTCACAAGTCAAAGTTGGAGACCATGATTATAGAATAATAGATTCTACCTAGAGATGCAAATGATGACTTAGAGAAATTCTGATGATGTGTCATTAAGAATTAAAATGATTCTTGCCTTTATAAACAGGGAATATTTACAGTGTTCCATCTCTCAACAGAGTGCTAGCAGAGAGGCTATTTTACATAAGCATCTGGCATAGGTATGAGTTAAAATAGAATGTTACAGACAATTGTATGTCCACATTTGAAGAAAGATGTTGATACCTCATATAACACAGAGAAAAGACAGAACAGTGACTGGAGGATTGGAAACAATGTTTTACAATGAAAAATTTGAAGACATTAATACCCTTCATTTAAAAGAAAATTAGTGTCACTTCCATAGAAACATTTATATGAAACAACATTTCTCAGTAGAAGAATCAATTTCAGAGAAACCTGCAGCATCACAACAGTCCCTGTTCAGTAAATTTACATAAATTTATCTTATGAAAATGTTGGAGGTTTGGTTGAGAGGCATTTTATCTTTGAAGATAATTTACCAGAGTAGTGCTTTACTAAAAATTACGAGTCCTTGTGAACAAGATAAGGCATATTAATGACAGTTATGCTGTAGTTAAAAGTAGAGAAGTCTTATGGCTTAGGTGATACAGGACATCAAAGTAAATCATTAGGTTGTCCCTTCTGGCATTCTGGGAATGGCATCTTAAATTCAGTCTTTCTACAACTGAAGTTTCCACAGTATCTAATATCAACATTAAAGAAGAAAATATAAACATGTAAGCTTTTCGTACTTTTAACATTGCAATCATAACTTTCACAATAATTCATGTTTGTGAATTTCCTGTGCTTTGTTCATGAACCAAAAGCAACACGCACACCTGCACAGCCCATATTTTTAGGGGTGTTTTTGGTGTTGTTGCTTTTTTTGTGTTTGTTTTTTTTTATTATTTGTTAAGGAAAAAAAAAAGAAAGAGAGAGAAAGAGAGAGAGAAAGAAGGGAAGGAAGGAAGGAAGGAAGGAAGGAAGGAAGGAAGGAAGGAAGGAAGGAAGGAAGGAAGGAAGGAAGGAAGGAAGGAAGGAAGGAAGGAAGGAAGGAAGGAAGGAAGGAAGGAAGGAAGGAAGGAAGGAAGGAAGGAAGGAAGGAAGGAAGGAAGGAAGGAAGGAAGGAAGGAAAAAGACCTTACCAGCTTTGCCTATCAGGAGTTAAACAGTGTTCTTTGCTTTTTTTATAGGAGGAATTAAAAATAATGACTACAATCTACAGTGCAAAATTAGAACAGGGGAAAAAAAAAAAAAAGATCAAAAAAGATCATAGATCATAGTGTAAAATCAAGGAGTATCTGAATGAAACAGTACTGACAGTAGAAAGAACTGCATAATCAAATAATACTTGAAGTGCCCTAATTTTTAAAGCAAAATATTCTATGTTCTAGCCCCCAAATTAAATAAATTTTCCTCTGAATCAAAGAATACTCAGTGTCAGTTTCTTATTTTTTATTTCGCTTTTAAGACATACAGTGAAACTCAGCTCTGGATGTTCTACATATAGATAACTACATGGGAATTAGCGATGTTCCAGGGCTCTGAAAATCCCCAAGATATTGAGGCTATTGACTGGCTTCTGGCTGTTCCTCCTCTGCTACAAGAGATAAGGATCTCTCATAGATCTCACATCTGAAGTCCAACATGGATGCATGAGACATTTTTCACATAGCATCTGAAATAACTCTAGGAGCCTAGGTGAGAATAACTGAAAGAACAAGTTTATGTTATGGTTTCTGGAGACCAAGCATACTATTCAGCCACCTAAACTTAGACAGGTAGTACTACATGATGCTCCATAAAGATGCCTTAATCATCTGTACAGTGCAGGAAGTTATGATATCAGGGATACCTGGAATATCTGAAATGGCACTGGGTGTCACAATTTGACTGAACCGAATGTCAGATCAGTACACTAAAGGTAGCTGAGAGAAAAATTCAGTTGATGAACTATTAGAAACAGAATTTGATTCTGTATCAACATACTTAAAATTGTAAGCATTTACCTGTGGCTATCTACAGGCAAGGCCAATGTCAGAATTCCTGTTATTGTCACTGGAAACTAGTCAAGGCACTTAGGAAGAAATTCACCTTATCCTAAGGCAGGCACTTTGTGGCTGGTCGGCTAAAAGCTCTCTAGGTTCCATTATAGTTTCATCTATGTCATTATCTATCACTGATCTTCATTTTCTTTAATGGGAACTTAGGCAATTATGATGTCAGTGGAATATTTATATGTAGATTCTTAGATTAAGGTGTCTTATTATTGAACTGAATCTTGATCCAGGATCTCAAATCAGTAGCTTTCATAAAATCATAGAACCTTAATGATTGGAAAAGACCTCCAAGGTCATCTGGTCCTGGAATAGTAAAGACAGATGTAAAGAAGGCATTAAGAACCTCAGCCTTTTTGTTATCCTTGGTAGTCATGTTCTCCTGCATCCAGTAAAGGGTGGAGATTCTCCTTGGCCCTCCTCTTGCCATTAATATATTTGTAAAAACTTTTTTTTGTTGTCTTTTACCATAGTGGCCAATTTGAGCTTGTGCAGGGCTTTAGCCTTCCAGATTTTTTCTCTGCATATGCTGGCAACTTCCTTGCACTCTCCCTAAGTTACCTGTCCCTTCTTCCACTAGACATGAACTCTCTTTTTCTCCTGGACACTCAGCAAAAGTTCCCCGTTCAGCCACATCAGTCTTCTTCCCCACCAGCTCAACTTATGGCACAAGGGGACAGCCTGCTCCTGCTCCTTTAAGACTTCCTTCTCGATTTGCATCCAGCCTTCCTGGACCCCTCTGCCCTTCAGGACTGATTTCCAAGGGACCTTCCCTACCAGCATCTTGAACAGCTCAAAGTCTGTCCTCTGGAAGTGCAAGGCAGCAGTTTTGCTGACCCCCCTCCTGACTTCACCAAAAATAGAGATCTCTACCATTTTGTGGTCACTCTGCCCAAGACAGCTCCTGACCACCACATCTCCCACCAGTCCTTCTCTGTTCGTGAACAGCAGATCTAGCAGGACACCTCCTTGTTAGGCTCACTAACCAGCTAAGTCAGAAAGCTGTCTTCCACACTTCAGGAACTTCCTAAAGCTTTAATACAGGTTTTTTGCAATGCCCCATCATGTCTCATGGGTTAAAGTAACCAGACTAGATGGGCCCAGTTATGCCATAAGTCCTGTGTTATATATCACTACATCAGATGGACAACTTAAACAAGTATATTTCCGTCTTTAGGTAGATGAACCAGACCTAGATAATCTTGGAGGGTGACCTGAATCAGCTGATGTTTGCAATCCTAGTGAGTGTGAAATCTGTATCTTCTTAGAAGTGCCTGAACCTCAATAGGGTGAAAGAAATTCCAGAATGATATGTTTCCTGCAGAATTTACAAGTTCATCATGAACTCAATGTTCTACAACATTTATTTGATTTCAGTGAATTTCTGACTGAAACTAAATCAAATTCAGATAAAATTTCTCTCATTTTTCTTCCAGCAAGCTCCACTTACAGGTTCTATCACACAGTCCCACAGAATACAACAAGGAGCCTTCCGTTTTCACTGAGAGTGTTCATATATACATTCATAAATAAATAAATAACCAAACTGTTACCTAGCTTCAAAATACAGTAACACTTCAGGAAACATTATTAACTTTGTCCGCACAGTTCTGCTCAGCACCTTGTAGGAATGTGACCCAATAACAGACAGAGTGTGTTTCAGTTCTGCTATTTCCTGTCCATCTTTGGTTACAGTCATAAAAGAAATGAATAATAGACAAATCTGTCTGCAAAAATAGGCTGGAAATAGGCATTCTCAAAGGATTTCTAACATCTTTGGCTTTTCTTCAGGCTGGAAATACCACAAAAGCAACCTTCCGGTAGTGTTTGTATTTCAGCACATCTGTTTTTATGGCCCACTGGAACCAGGAAGTTTAGCTCACATAAAAATGAAAAATCACCTAAAGAAAATTAACCAAAGCATCAGAGGTCCAGTTCAAGTTTTAAGAAAGATTCA